TGCTAGCCTAGCTGTTAGCCTGGCTGTTAGCCTAGCTGTTAGCCTCACTGCTAGCCTAGCTGTTAGCCTGGCTGTTAGCCTGGCTGTTAGCCTCACTGCTAGCCTGGCTGTTAACCTGGCTGTTAGCCTACCTGTTAGCCTGGCTGTTAGCCTGGCTGTTAGCCTCACTGCTAGCCTGGCTGTTAACCTGGCTGTTAGCCTAGCTGTTAGCCGAGCTGTTAGCCTGGCTGTTAGCCTGGCTGTTAACCTGGCTGTTAGCCTAGCTCTGCAGTTCCTGACCAGGCTAGCAGTACACTGAAAATCACCATGGTAACTGATGTGTTGCTGCTCTGAATCCAGGTTTAATTTATCCAGGAAATCCAGTTAATCCTGGTTTTCTGTGCTGTCCTGGTTTGTGGAGCAGTCCTCTGATGAAGGTCTGGACTGACCACCTCTGGTCTTCCTCAGGAGCTTCGATGTATTTCTCCGTTGCTCCTGTAGTTGGTTCCACATTCAGACGTCACTGACATCATTTCCCTCCAGGCTGAGCTTCATCCTCATCTTCCTCTCTGAGCAGCAGCAGCAGAGCCCTGATGTTCGCTAGATGTTTCCTCTGGCCTCGGGCCATGAAGGAGGCTCATCAGGAACCAGACAGACAGGATGTTCCACCAACGCTCCTCCTGCTCTGATTTCATTTTCATTTGTTTATAGAAACAATTTTGCTTTGAATCAACAGTTTCCCTCCTTCCTCAGCTGCAGCCATGTCTCTGGGTGAGCACGGGTCGGACTCGGCGCCATTCTTCTCCTCCGACAGCGAGGCCGAGGCTCCAGAGGAAGGAGCCGACAGGCGGCCGGAGGAGGAGGAGTCTCCCAGCGGGGTGTCCAGCTCCCGGGCGCTGCTGACCGTCTTCATCCTGTGCTACATCAACCTGCTCAACTACATGGACCGCTTCACCGTGGCAGGTAGGACCTCGCTGCACCTCCACCTGCTGCTCCTGCTGCTCCACACAAACACCTGCTGCTTCCTCCCAGTCCAACTCGGCCCGCACACCAGAACCAAACTAGAGAAGACTTGTGGGCCAGGCTGCTCCACAGAGTCAGATCTGACCTGAAAGGTCAGAGGTCACCTGCATCAGGCTGCAGACAGGAGCACATCTCAGTACCGTCCCAAACAGAACCCAGGCGCTGGTTCCTGCTGTGTGATGAAGGACTCCTCCTGCTTCCTGAAGTGGATCTCTGGATGTTCTTCTTCAGCGGTCTTACTCATAGCCCCAGGACTCGAACCAGAGCTTTTGAGTCGGATTTATCAAACAGAGACTAGTTCTGGGTTCAAATGTGGGTCCGAGGTTCTGGATGCGGCTGACATGGGCTTAAGGAACCAGGTGGCATCCTCCGGTCCGGGTTTGATTCTGATCCAGCTGTTTTGTTCTTCCAGGGGTTCTTCCAGACATCGAGCAGTTCTTCAGGATTGACGATGGAAAGTCGGGCTTACTGCAGACAGGTGAGGGGACAGATCCAGAACCTCATGGACCCTGATTGGTCCAATTCTGGTCTGAAAGAGGGACCAGCAGGTCTGGTTAGGGCCCAGACTGGGAGCTCCAGGTCAGGTCTAAATGCCTCCACTGAGGATGTGGTCCACTGTCCATCGGATGGACCCACGGCTTATCCAGAACCAGAATATGAACCGGTCCGACTTGTCTGATGGATCCCCGGTTCTGCTGCTTCCTCACCTCGTTTTTCTTTAAAGCTCATATCATTGTCTGCAGCAGCAGACCTGCAGCAGCATGTCAGTGCAGAGG